TTTAGCTGGTCAGCAATTCCAAAATTTCTTTAAGTAGGTTAAAAGCCATAAGAATATAACAAAACCATATCCATTGGTGCTATGCAACAATATAACACTAACTTATCATAAATATATTTGTTACTACATATTTGATTTCAAATTCAAATTATATTTTTTAATGCATGTGTTGCTTAACCAACTAGCAGCTAAATTGAAAATTCAATTTGAAATGTGAAAATGGTAGAACAACCTACTCACCAATATTTGTGCTTGAATCCATTTCAGATGTTTAGTTGTAATTTAATACTTAAACTTTTCACAATTTTGCTTTTAAATCTAGTATATAGCAGTCTTAATAAAGTTTTGTCAACAACATAGTAGTTTAATATGAGACTATTATAACTTAGACAAGTGAACCACGAGAATGKCACTATATCCGTGGCCAACGGTTAGCCCAAACGCCACAAAATACGGTCACTACAATTACTATCAACTCGAACTTAATTGAGTATCAGTAAATATATTCCTTAGATTTTAATTCATCACTTTGCACATATTAAACATCACGTAGTAAATGAAATACAATCGCAAGGGCATAAGCAGAGAACGTATATTCTAAAACTTTGTCCGAAAAAACAAAAACGCACCAAATACACAAAAACGCGCGATCGCTTATCACAACTAATATTTTTCTCAATACGTTACTCTTAACTTGTACTTATTTTGTGTGTTGTAGCTAGGCTTTGCAAATATGTTCTTTCAATAAATTCGAAAGTATTTTTGAATAAATTTTCAAATGATTTTCACACTACTTCTGTTCACTATTGCATTGAACTGGGATTTTTGCACTTTTTCTTCTATTATTACACCGTTTACTACACGCTTTGCGTTGACATTCGTCATTCACCCGTTCAGAAGACCTCTTTCATTGGTTGGCCTGACAGTGATGCCGCTTTTGTTTTTGTCATTACTCGTGTAAATGAAGTTTCGGTTGGTTGCACTGTTGAGTTGCCATTTTTGTTGTCCGTACAGTGTTGTACTATTCCGTTTTTGCTATATTTAAATATGGCTTTTTTGAATATATACCTATACAATTGACCCACGAACCGGAAGAGAGTCTACTGTTCAAATATCAATCTCCAAAAATTTTACAAGTATAACTACAAAATATTACACAAATGTTTCAAAGAACTTAAAATACATATTTCTTTTCTAATTAAAGTAAATATAAAATGAGATTTAATACATTTATATTAATAATAAGAATATTCATCACAGTGAGAGTTACAAACATTAAAAAAAAAGTTGTCCTGCATTGTTGATTATTACCCACTGCTTATTAAAAACATTTTTGTGCTCAATAAAGGCAAATCGAGCATACAAATTCAATGTTAACTTTACTTAAATTATTATTTGCCCATACATTACAAAACGTACAAAGTAATCTTATTTTAAACATTAAATTATTTTCAAACTTTTATGAAAAGTTTATGGCCGAACTGTTATTTAATAAATACTCAAAATCCATAAGACAATTTTCGATTTTTATAGTTGCCTCTGGATTATTTTTTTGATTAGTTTCAGGTTTATTGGCGGTATTGGGAGCACAATCGTTACTTATATGCATTCTATTAATAAATTTTTCAAAAGACGATATCGGTGTTACATCMTGGAACTCTTTAACGTCACTTTCCATTGTCGTTTTGCTATCAGTAGTATCAATTTCATTACAATTACTTATTCTGTTATTTTGACTTATTGGATTATCATGTTTTATGCTGCTACTCTCGAGAATTGTGTTAACAGCAGCTACTGCTTCYGATACATTTGGATCAGCCAGCGCAAAACTAACAGATCTCAGAACAGAAGTTTTCTTATGATTTTTTATTAACTTTTGATTTCCAGTTAACCGCCTGGTATAACCAGGTACTGTAGCACCATGGATCTTTTTAAAATGTGCGTACAAAGAATCATATTGATTGTAACATTTATCACACTTCGGGCATTTTAGTGTACGCCTGTTCGTAACAGGATCTATAACATATGTGTACTTTCTGCATTTTAAACGTGGACGACTTGACAAGCCTACATTTTGTCCTTCTGAGTTAACCAAAGTTCGGCGTGTCAGTTCTTCAATTGAACCAATTAACGGTCGATGCTGTGTGCGTAAATGTTTTTGAAATATGCATTGCTTGCCGTAAACTCGATTGCAAATTTTACAATGACCATAACCCATATGCAAATGCTTCACATGATCCATTAAATATGTTTTCCTTACGAAAAGTTTTCCACATTTTTCGCAAACATAGTCATAACTACCGTTATGAACGGTCATATGCTTTTTTAAAAGGTTTGAAAAGTGAAATCGTTTTGGACAAAGTTCACATTGATAATTAGGCTCTCCATGGCGTCTTTTGTGCTGCTTTAACAGGCTAATGGTGGTACAACGAAATGGACATTCATCGCATTCAAAAATTTTTTCTTCGTTTTTTACACGTTCTTGATGACKCTGTTTGTGGTGTCTCAAAATGCCAGCAGTTCTAGTACGAAATCCACATACATCGCAAGCAAAATGGCAATTGCCCTTCGGATGGATTTCCAAATGTTTTACATATTCACGTGAATCTGTAAATGTTTGGTCACATTCGGCGCAAACGGCCTCAGTCTCAAGCAGGTATCCAGGTACCACATGCTTTCTTTGTAAATGCTTACGTAATTTATGTATATAATCGAATCGCTTATCACACTTATTGCAAGAATATGGTAGTTGACCCATGTTGTGCCTACGATGTTTATGAATTTGCAATCCAACTGCATCATAACAAAACTTTTTACAAATATCACAGTACACCTTTGTTTTTTTTAAGTCGCCGTCGCAATACATATATTCTGCACATTTGGTATAGTAGTCGATATATTTTTCAGTGAATTTCATATTCGAACGTCCTCCTTTTGCTTCAGTCATACCAATAAACCAAGCTTTAATATTTTCAACATTTTTACACAAAACACTCTTTTTTAAATTAAGACTCCACTTTTCCGTCATTATTGTCAACAAATCTTTTAGCTCATTTTTATATCTTTTGATATTCAAATCGCTGTTGTCTCGCCATAAACTGGGAAATCCTTTTAAATGTTCCAAGAAATCCATTACAATTGCAGGGGCGGTATTTTCGAAGCTTATCTGCAAAATTGTAAAATCAATATTAGTTAAGATAGTAGATAGAAATTATCTAATAATTGTATGTTGTGATATTATTTTTAATTACCTGATCTATTGTTTCCCCAGGTGTCGCATTACATTTATTCTTATCCTATATTTGAAAGTGTAAAAACAGATTTTTTATTAGTATTATTGTTAGGCATTATTAATAACAACACAAAAACAACAACTTACCCCCATTCTGCCGTAACAGTGTTCTAAGCAGACTTCATAATTTTCTGCAGACATATAATAAGGTTCCTCATCAGAGAAACTATCATAACCATTACCATGGTCGAAGTGTTCTGGTAACAGTTCTTTAACGTCCGGTTTTATAGTCAGACAATTTAAACGATCTTTATCAATTAAATTGACAAACAGTTTTTTTCCCGACACTTCAACGTCATCATTAGAAAAATGTTCATTGAAAATATCAGTTTCATCGTTGAGAGACTCGACATCGCTTACAGATTTCACGTCGTTTTCGGTATATACTTTTTCCARGTCACCATGAGTATCGATAACATGATCTGAAAATTCGGACCAAAATGATATAGGGAATTCCGCATCGCAATAAAAACAACGAAGATTAAAATATTTGTCATCGCCAGTTTTTGAAACATTAACAAATCCACAATTGATTCGATCTTCCGCTCTGTGAAAAGTAAAACATGAAATTTAAAATGTTTATGAACTTTATTGTTTATATTTACGGTTCCTCAGTTTGCACACCGTTTGTGGTGAATGTGGCACTACTGTTATTTTGTGGATTTTCTAGCTCATGTCTGAAAATTATATATTTTGTAGCAGACAAATAATGCAAGTTGAATATAAAGTAAATTATTACTCAAGTGTTTGCTCCTCAAGCTCTAATACTTCACCGTCAGAATCGTACACTGGTATATGTTGCTTTTTCGCCAATTCCTCGTCGTCAAATAAAGCTTCATTTATGCTAACATAAAAATCATATTTAATACTTTAAGAAATAATAATATTTGAATATTTGAATACTCACAATTCAATATACATTGTGAGTGGTRTGGTTTCCGGACAAACAGGGGCACATTGAACTAGGGGTTTTTCAGTTTGCTTATTTGGGTTTAGAGATGTTTGAATATTCTGCAGTTGATTTCGTTTTCTATGGTTATCCCTTATTTCCTGTATTTTCATATTTTGTTCAATGCTTAGTGAAGGAAAATACAGTTTTGATGGCTTCTGTATGGGGTCCTCCAAAGATTTCCCAGTTGTTGGAACATGTGGAACACTTTTTCTTTCTTTTCCCAAAGAAGTTGTTTTGTACTTACCATTTGGAGGATTATTAGTTGAATGCACTACTTTCTTTTTGAGAAATGTTGAAGGATCAATTATAATTACTCTTGAATTAGTCACATCCATTTCTGACATATGGTTGAGAGACGTCTCCATATGATTTTATATTTAGATAGCAAATTGTTTGGAGATTTACAAAAATATTTCAATCTTATAAAAGATGTATACAAATAAAGCCGCCAGAAATCACTATTTGCAATCAGCTGCTTGCTGGAGATAAAACAAACACTTGAAGTCGATACATTACTTTATATAAATTGAAAGAAGAATTCTCCAATTAATTAAATATATTTATAGAATTAAACAAAAACGATTTTTTCTTAAAATAAAATAGATATATTCAAATAATTAACTGTGAGTATTAATGAAAAACATGAATATTACWGCGATTTCAATTGAAAAGTTAATGAAATGTATGCAGTCTCTATAACAAACGATAAAAATTGCAACACTGTGTTTTCATTTGTTTCCTTCGGCATATCACCAAAAATTTTATTTTCTTATTGGACTCTATTGGATATCTTTGCTAGAAAATCCAAATTCAACAGAACAAATATAAGAATAAATCAGAAAATATTCAAAAATAATTATAAAAGTAGGGAGCAGACGTTTTCCATCCACAAAAAGACCGTATTGAACAAAAATGAATATAAATTTACCAAATTTCAATGTAAAAAATCTGGTGAAGGAGGCGGGAAGTACTCTGTCCAGAGTGGTGCAGGTAATATGTCTAAATATGCGTGTGGCCTTAAGTGTACTGTTATGTCAGTGGGTGGTGGGTGCAAATCCTATGTTTGTTATGACACCGTTCAAATACACCATTGTTTCGATGAATGTTTGCTTCATGAATTGAAAAAAAAATACATAAAATTATAAGTTGATAAATTAAATATCGATGTACTCACATTTATTGACACTATAATTTTGTTTCCATTCCTTTTTCGTTTTCAAATACTACCCTCTCAACGCATCGATTATTTATTACTAGCTAACGGAAGAAAAACTCGGCACCACAGAGCGCACCGAGTACGATAATGAATTCCAGAACTTAGCTGAACGTGCCGATATAACCAAAACGTGGACAGAGAAAATTGTACGTGATACCGAGACAGTATTAATACCCAATCCACAAAATCGTATAGAAGATTTTATTTTTGAAAAAATCGAAAAAAGTAAGCCACAACGACTGAGCAACTTAGAGCACTTGGCTTTAGGTATGATAGAGGCCGGTGGAGATTTCGGTCAAGATTTACCATACGGTCAAGCTTTAATAAAAGTTGGTCAAGCTGAACAGAAACTGGGACAATGCGAACGAGATTTTATTGCATCCTCCGGCATATGTTTCACTCAACCCTTGCGTAAATTCTTAGAGGGTGAAATGAAAACAATAACAAAGGAACGAGGTATATTAGAAACCAAACGGTGAGTTTGACAATAACGTTAAACTATGCAATTAATGTACATATGGGTATTGTTTCATTCGTACAAATAATTTTAGACTTGATTTGGATGCTTGCAAAAATCGGGTTAAGAAAGCTAGAAGCATGTTAGGACAACAGGCGGTAAGTTAGAATATTAAACAGGTTTAATACTATAAAGTAATCCAAACGCATGAAAAACAAGCGTTCCCTTCGCAAATACCAACGTTTTCATACACGAACTTGACTTTGATCCGTCAGTTTGTTTGAACTGATTTTTGGAAAATGGTCCTTTGCCTTGAACCATAGGTAAATACATCGCGGATATATATACTCTGTTCAGGATATAAAGTTATCAAAATAGAATTACTTAAGTAGTATAAAATAAATGACTATCGTCCCGCTCATTGAACAAATTATGTCTTAGTTTATTATTTAAGCGTTGTATTCATTATATTATTTTTTTTTTAATGTAATATGAATATTTGCTCGCTGCTTTATTTTGGAATTGTTAGAAAGATGGTGTCTCCCCAGAGGCAGTGCTGGAGCAGGTACTTAAAGATAACGAATGTGTAAAAAATTGTTTATTAGTTAACCATTTTGCACAATACTCACTTAAAATGCATATTAATACATACAGGCCGAACGTGACTTGCGTGTCGCACAGGCGGAATTCGATCGTCAATCAGAGATTACCAAAGTATTACTTGAGGGCATTAGCACTTCACAGGCATCTCATTTAAGACATTTGCATGCATTTGTTGAAACACAGGTGCGTTATTACAAGCACTGCATGGATGCGATGAACAATTTGCAACGTGATTTGGCCAAGTAAGTCAAGTAAGCTAATTTTAAGCTTGCACGTTTTATTAATTAGAGTATGATAGTATTTTCCGCACCTTAGTTTTTAATAATTCTTTATAAGCACGCCAAAAATAAATATATATATTTAATTTTCATATTTAATATACGTATATACTTTTATATTAAATAGTATCTTAAGTAAAATGGAACTTTAACATAAAACTTGTAATACATCAGTGAAACAAAACCTCAATTGGTTTGCAGACTACGTCCCGCAAAGCCACGACTACGCATAAACAGCGAAGATGTGGATGGGCCTCCCAACACCGTAATGCTTTCAAATATTCATGCAACGCTTAACAGTAACGAAACATATGAAGTTAATGAATTCAGTGATAATGATGATTTAAATAATTTCCACACTGTCGATATTAATAAGCATAATAATGTTAACATTAATGAACATCAAGAAAATACTAATATAACATCTCAAAATCAAAATAATACTACAAATCCGTTTGCAACAACACAAATTTTAGAACAATATGATATTGAATTTGATACCAGTGCTATAACTTCAGTTTAAACGAGGAGAGAGTGAAAAAATATACATATATAATATTTGTGTATAAAACATATACATAGTCAGGTTGTGCTTTTCGATATAAGCAATATTATGAATTTAATTTAGCTTACCGTTGTGCTAATCGCGACATTGAAAGTTGAACATAGGAATGCGTAATATTTACTTGCATATTGCAAGTATGTATGTACGATAAAAATAACTTTGAAAACTCAAAACCTCATATTGAATCAAAATTATAATTAATAAAAATTATAATTAATAATTAAATCAAATAATATATTCACGCTCGTTGTTGTTGTATTACGCTGCACTATAAATAATATAAATTTAAAGGTTTTATACCTCATCATAAGGGTGTAAAATACTTTCTTCAAATCCTTATAAAATGCACACGTTATCATGTTACTAATATTAAAGTACATAAAAGGCATAAGAAGGTTTCAAGTACAGGCTATTAAAAATTAAAAGTAAATTAAATGCTAAAATACATGAGCTGTATTTTTTAGCGGTCTGATTCATCTCATATATTATAAATGAAACAAAAATTGGAACCAGCTTTGGTTCAAAAAAAGTTATTGAATATTTTTTTTTGTAACCCTGAAAATCTTAATAAAAAATAATTTTTTAATTTCCAATTCAAATACAGTATTGAAAATAAAATAATCAAATACCTGAAAGAAAAAAATTAATTATAAAAATCGTACTAAATTTTTATTTTTAATTTTGAATCCTAAATACCCTTATAATTAAAAATTAAAAACGAAATTTTTTTATTTGTGTTTAACAGCTTTTAACTTTAGTGTTTTAGTTTCAAATAAATTCAATTCAGATTTTAATTTGAAACATACACTCTTATTTATCAATCAAATTATTAAATTAATTATTTTTTTAATTGTTAATCAAAGATGTTTATAATTAAAAATAAAATCTCCAATTTTATTACTAGAATAATTTCCAATTTCTGATTTTAATTCTAAAATTGGGATTAAAAATTAGTTTTTAAATTTTTAATAAAAAATATTTKGACCATAAAATTCGCAGCCCTTATTTCGAAATTAAATTATAGTATTATAAATTTATTAAATATAAATTTAAATTCTTTGAATATGAAATAGGTCTCTTATTATATTACAAAGCAGATTATTAATTTTTATTTGATTGCGATAATATCGACTATACATGTATATAGAAAAAGGTGCGAAATTACTCTTAGCTATAAGGTATTATTTGTATATTTCTATAAATTCCTTCTAATTAATATACTCAGCCTGTAATTACTTAACCTATAATAGTGTTACTTGTAGTTGTTGGTAATATCCTCGTAATGTCGCCGTGCTCATTATATCATATATTATTTTGCTTAGTTTGGGAGGCCCCACCCCATACGTACCGATCGATATATACAACGATAATGATGGTAGTGCCGCTGGTGGCATTGGACTTAATACTGGCGTTGGTATTGGCAACGCTGGCGGTGGTGCTGCAGCCGGTGTGTTTGTTGGCAGCGGTGCTAAAAGACGCAACCCAGGCGATCCAACACTTAATGCCGACCAAATGCGACGCGCACGTGTGCTATGCGCTTACAATGCAAAAGATCACACCGAATTACATTTAAATGCTAACGAGGTAGGCGAAATCTTTCTAATATATACTATATGTGTATCGTTATATCATTTGTATTTTTTAGGTAATATTCGTAACTGAATGCTCACCTGTAAATCCGGATTACATGTATGGCAAGCAGGGCTTACTGAAGGGACTGGTGCCACGCGCTTTTCTCGAAGTGCTCGATGACGAAGGAAATGACACATATGCAGGCAATAATGATTATTAGGGAACGTCTGATAACAGCATTTAAAGAGCAACAGTTCACTTAAGCAAAGCCAAAAAAAAAATGTACACCACACGTTCCATAAGTTTAAAAAAGCAATGTTAAGGAAAATTCACAAATACTCATAAAATTTATTTAATTTATACGTATATAATTAGCGTTGTGTCAAATGCAGAATACAAGCAAAGATAACAACATAGACGGTATATATAAATAGCAATGCTAAATTGACCTAGAAATTGCAGCACAATAATAAAAAAGAATACAATTAATCAATATATAAACCGAATAATACCGCTACAAAATTAAAAAATTAATAATTTTTAAAATATGCAATAATATGTTGTGTGCAAGATATGTTGTAGAAAAATTGCTTAAAGACGGTCCGTTGTTATCTAGAACTGTTGTAGCGTCTAAGTTTGATAAACAATAAACCAAGTAGTAACGAGTGGTACAATAATATGGCTATAATGCCTGTTGTTATAAACTACGAACCGCACGATAAACGATAATCACAATTACAACATACGTATAAGTACACAGCGTTAATATTTCATTTTTAGAAAATTCTTCAAGTCGGCGCAGCATTTGTATGCATATATAAAGTAAACACGATTTATATTTTGAATTTTTGGTTATAAGTTTCATTATAGTGTTTTAGTTTACTTTTTCGTTTAATTAATAGTATTTCTGTGTGTCTTCCAGTACTAGAAATCTTATATAAACATGCCAGTAATATGGTTTTAATTGTTATTAGAGAATCTCCACACCTTCTTAACTGTAATTGAAGCACTCGTATTTTAAATGAAATGAAAATCAAAAGACAAGTATTTTTTTATGTGAAAATATTTTTATTACATATCTTTAGATGTAAAAAAAATTAATTGTGTTAATTTCAAGTTTATTTGTATAATTTTGCAATTTTGCGGAACTGTAACAAAGAAAGAATACCCAAAAACAAAATGAAGTTTACAGTTCTTAAAGCTGCTGGCTGATCGTCAATTGAAAATCCATCAAATTAACAAATAAATGCAGCAAGCTTATTTAAATATATACTATTTGCTTGCAGGTCACTTAAAAAATATTCCAGATTATTTAAGGTGCAATTAAGGCRTGTCAATTAGACAAATATAAGTGTATTTGCCAATTTTAGTCCGCATGCAGTATTTTTTTGCATCTCTCATATATTTTGTACAAATTAAAGCAAAAATATAGATCAGTGTAGTTTGTATATACATATGGTATATACATATATTATAAAAATATATATAAGGTGTATTACAAGTTATTTGTGCAATTTTCTCCAATATAGTGCAATTAAATTTGAAAATATTTAAATCTATATATTTCTTATGATATAATTCAAATTGTTTCATATGCCTAATCAAACAAAGTATAATCTTATCGCTTAAATAAATACTAAATAAAATTAAAAACAAAAACATTACATAAGTGAATAAAAACAACTAAACAATTACAACGAAACACAATGAATTGGTTTCCCCAAAACTATAACCATATATTATATTTTTCGCCTTAAATATATTAATAATTTGAGGTTATGCCACTAACTTTGCAACAACATCAATTATGTGTAATTAAAAAAAAAAAAACCAATGTCTTCTTCTCTTACTTAACTTTAATGAATGCAATAAAAATCAAATAGCAAAAACTAATACCAATCATATAAAGGAACAAATAATAACAAATATATGTACTCCAAGTGTTATCCTGGTTAACAATGGAAAACGTATGTGTGCCTCGTGCATGTGGCAATAATTTATTTCTAGCGATTCGTTATTTAGTAATTAATTTATTATGTACAATAGTAGTGAATAGCAAACGTAATCGCGTAGAATTTTTAGAAAGACATACAAATATACATACACATAGATTCACATACCTAAATTGAATACRCAATACGCTTGAGTGAAAATGTACATCCATTTGTGTAATTTAATAACTTTTGTCTAGCATAAATGAATTATTATTGACTTTTAGTAACTATTTCATTATTTCAAGCCGCTCTGCCACGATTTGTCAGCACTTTACTTTGTTGAATATGCAAATGGAACGTTTCCGATAATTACTTACTTTATTCCCGTAATATTAAAAACATATATGTATTATAAATAATAAAGCAAATAAATCGTAACATTATTGTTGTGTTACTTAAAATAATTATATTTTTTAATCAAAACAAAAAAACGTTAACTACGGTTGCATCGAAGCTAGATATACTTCACAAAGAAATAGTGTTCATACAAGAATCCATCTAAAAAATTTATTTGCAGATGTCACCGTTGATTTGGACGATAATCCCTACCAAATTTCGTGAGGATATCTCGTCAAATAAAAAACATACCGTTTTTATGGCACCTACATATGTATATACTAGTGGTCCGATACCAGCGGTTCCGACAAATGAGCAAATATAAACCGCTTAAAACGTTTTGAAATTTACCAAAGAGAAAAACTAAATGCAAGGAAGATTACTTTAAAAGAAGAATATTTATTTTTAATTCGTTTGACGATATAAATTGAGCTAAATTTTGGATAAACTAGGCTATACTACCATTCGTTTTTCTATCGACTATGGCTCTCGTTTTATGCATCTTTGTTRTTGTTGTATCGAAGAATTTTATGCATCTATCACTTGCGCCGCACCTGGGGCTCGTTTTACATATTTCAACAAGCGGACAATAGTTGCGGGTGTCACACCCTGTATGCGACTCGCTGCTGCTATAGTCTGCGGTTGTATCAAAGCCAACTTTTGTCGTTCCTCATTTGAAAGGCTTAACGTTTTGGCGAAGTAGTCAATATCATTTGGTATTGCTAAACCCTCCTCGCGTCGTACATCTTCGACGTCACGCTGCTGTTCAGACACAAAATAGGCGTACAACGCTTCGATCTTTAAGCGTTCACATATCACACGCTCGTTTCGTAACCAACCCAAAACTTCTGGTTGCAGTTCTATCATTTGTACCAATGTTATATTATCTGCCGGAATGCCAAGCATATCGAATGCGCTTTTTTCTACTGAAGCTTTTGCCTCGCGTATGCCAAGCTTACGTCGCCAATAATTGGAATGTTGTTTTAGAGATTTCAGTTGTTCAATGGCAAGATATAGTTTTTGTTCTGCATCTTTAAAAAATTTAAAACGTTTTTCGCTGACTACACCAACGTTGTAGCCTTTTTCTGTTAGACGTATATCGGCATTATCTGGACGTAGTGAGAGACGAAATTCAGCGCGACTAGTAAACATACGATACGGTTCATTAGTACCTAAAGTTGTTAGATCATCGATGAGTACGCCAATATAACCTTCAGTTCGACTAATTTTCAGTTGATGGAGTTTATTGGTTTCACTTTCAGCGTTGTATGCATGTTTTGCTTTACTAGCTGCATTGGCACCGGCAATTATACCTTGCGCTGCTGCCTCTTCATAACCAGTAGTACCGTTTATTTGACCGGCAAAGAACAGATTTTCCACCCGTTTCGTTTCCAGTGTGGGAAAAAGTTCACGCGGATCAATAAAATCATATTCTACACCGTAACCAGGTTGCTCCACTTTAGCTTCTTCTAAGCCGTGAATGCTATGTACCAACTCCACTTGTTCTTCGTATGGCAGAGTACATGACAGTCCCTGTGGGTAGATTAATTTACTGTCGAAACCTTCTGGTTCTAGCCAGATTTGATGTTCCTTTTCACCAAATCGTAACACTTTTGACTCGATAGATGGACAGTACCGGGGACCTGTAATTTCTTCAGTCACATGACGGTTTACATGCAAGTTTTTTCTCACAATATCATTAACACGTAATGTTGTATGCGTTAGGTAGCATGGCATTTGTTGGTCCGCTTCTAACCAAACTCTATCATTTAAAAAAGAAAAAGGTACTGGGGGATTATCACCCGTATGACGAGTTATTCGATYGTAATCAATGGAATCTTTGGCAATGCGCGGAGGAGTACCCGTTTTTAAACGTCCCATTCGAAATCCTATTGTTTCCAGTGATTGCCCCAAARCCATTGCCGGTTCATCGCCTATTCTCCCTGCGGGTCGCACTTCAAGTCCTATATTGATGTTTGCTCGCAAAAATGTTCCTGTGGTCAATATGACGGTGTGACTATATACAATTTCACCACTTTGCAGTACTACACCTTTGCAATTTTTCGTCTTCCCATCGGCTGCTGCATCTATAAATAAATCATCCACTGCTGCGCTACGTATTTCTAGGTTTGCAATATTGAATAATTCTTTTTGCACAGCTTCCTTATATAGTTTACGATCGATTTGCGCACGCGGTCCCCATACAGCAGGTCCACGTCTTCGATTTAAAATTTTATACTGCACCCCAGAAACGTCACAACAACGTGCGCATAATCCATCCAATGCATCAACTTCGCGCATCAAATGTCCCTTTCCGATTCCGCCAAAGGATGGATTACATGACATTTCTCCAATTGTGTCCAATTTGTGTGTAATCAACAAAGTCCGTGCATTCATTCTGGCCGCCGCCGCACATGCTTCTGTACCGGCATGACCCCCTCCTATCACTATACAATCGTATTCAATCCCTGTATTATGGGCTCTTGTCAGACTTGAGTTTTTCCGATTAAATAGGAACAGTTTATTTAGTCTCTTTGTTATATTTAAACTTCGTAACATTTCTATTTCATATATGTAGTTAGTTTTTATATGTTGTTTTTAATTGTCAGCTACAAAATGTGTTGTTATGGCAAATCAGCTGATTATTGCGTTTCCATGGAAATATAATCAAAGGCTATGAACGCAGTTGGTAGATGCATGATGCCTTAATATTTGCTAAAATTATCTCTTGTTTTTACTAATAATATACGATACAATTATTAGAAAATTCGCTAAATTATGGCAGTAATAAATAATATAATGTACATATAGTAAGCCTGACCATCTTAATGAAGCATCCAAAAAGAATTGTAAGTGTGCTTTTGGSACTTGGCAGCTCTAAAAATTTCCTCATTGGGAAATTTCGGTTTGATCAGACTGAAATACCCTAAGCGTTTGAATTTTTATACTGTATCCTTTTGTGTTTGTCCGTGAAGTTATTTTTGTAAAGTGATTGGCACCTTTAAAGATAATTTTCAGTAAAAAGTTGAATAATTGTTGAAAATGGATCGCTACCGTAGTCTATATAAAGAAAATTCTTCCATGATGAGTCCGGCACAACACAATCGGACAAATCGAGAATTTGCAAATGCAAATCGCGCCAAAAAACGCAGAGAAATCTTTGAAAGCGGACGTAATTTCAATGTTAGTCCGACGCCAAAAAAATCATTTGAAAAGGGAAACCAATTAGAACATAAGGAAAATGTAAATGAAAATAATGAAATATGCTTAGAAACTAAARAGAATGTCGACGTTGTTGAGATCTTAACTGCCCCGAAATGCAATGAGACAAAAAGTACTGATCAGACTGAGATCAATAAGTCCCGAATAGCATTGGTAGCAACCAGCAAAAAAAATTCTGAAAAGTCTACGCGACAAGAAGCATTTTTGTTGAAATTTATACAATGGAAAGAGGCACACAAACTGAAAGAGCAGAAGAGACTGGAACCAAAAAAACGACCATTTGTACCCAGCGGTGGAGTTGGCGGCAATTCTTTTAGTGATGGAGTTAAGTCGGTTCTAGCACTTACAAGTAAAGTGAAAAGCAAAGAAATTGCCACCTTTGTACCAAAAGATCATAAAACTTTTAAACCACCTACAGGACTAAAAAATCCTGCTTCAAAAATGGTAATTTTTTATTTTGAAACATTATTCGTAATTTATAATTATTTCTGTTATAGACATCAGCAGCTAAAAGGATAATTGAAAATGATCGAAAGTCATTCTACACAGTTGTGCCAACACCGCCAAAAAATAAACAAGATAATGCCATAAAAGCCGATGTCAAAAAGCCGTCGGCAGTAAGTAGTACTCCTACAATTTCCACTTTGACGAAAAATTCAGCTACAACTCCAGCTACGTCGGCGCTAAAATCAATAAAATCTGCTGCAATCACCAAGTC